CTGCTCTTCTCGCACAAGGATGGTAACAGCATGGCATTTTAATAATAATGAGGTCCCAGGAATCACAGAGATGAAGTCCTTGGTAAAGGACTAACATGTAGGGGACAGGGCCTTCGTCTTGGCTAGTGATCCCAAGTGCCTGTTTTCTCCACCTCTTGCTGCTCTTCTCGCACAAGGATGGTAACAGCATGGCATTTTATTCCCTGTGAAGAGTGAAGGCATTTTACTCATCAAAAATAAGTTCTTTTTCTGAATGCAATTTGACACAAATGTTTCAGAATCATAAAGATGAAAGCAATTGATTCATGAGGTAAAACCGGTTTTCTATTGAAATTATTTGTGCTTTTCTGTTTCTATTTCTAGCTTGAACAATTTCGGACCCTACTCTTCACTTCTGAGGGGGAAAAAGAAAAAAAAATGGTGGACAACTTCCGCCCTCTTCAGCCCCTGATGAATCGCACCGTCCGCTCATCCTTCCGCCATGATTATGTGCTGAATATACAAGCGAAATCCAAGCCATCAGCCAGCCAAGAGACCCCCTAAAGTGTCTTACCGAGGCAACATTTTGCTTATTTTAGCTGTTTAAAAATTATTAACCAGATTATTTTAAATACCTGTGCTAATAATATTTATAGAAATATATTTCTTTTTTGACGTTTCCCAGTGGCTATCTTTGCAGGCAGGAACAGGGAGATGGAACGATTGCAGAATAACTGATTTGTTAACATCGTGCTACTTTAGGTGACCATTTGTGAGGGCTAAGGCAGAGGGGATTTCATTACCATTGCCAATTGAAACTGGCCTGTTTGGGAAAGTTGGCTGGCATCTCTCTAATCCAGCTTGTGAAGAAGGTCAGATAAATAATTTAATTTCTTTTGGTGAAGTAGAATTTTACTCAGTGTGAGTGACTCCATTTGGAGTTTGAGCCTGGTGTACTGCAGCCTAGTACAGCAGCTTAGTTTAGAACAATGGCCTCTTGTAATTTTTAGTTAAGAATCTTCCAGTTTTGGTCAGGTTCTCACGGCCTTAGGGACTTAGTGCTACTGTTAGTTACTGTCATTTTGGGTTTCAAGTATTAATATGTTGCTCATAGGTCAGATGTGCCTTTATTGGCATGAAAGTGCTTTATCAGTATTTGAGAAATCTATTTGGTAACATGATTTCTCTGGCTGATAACAGTATTTATCACTAAAATACCAGCAAGAGATACAAGTGTCCTTTAGAGCAACTTACTAGTAATTGAAACGTCTTTTTATGTTGACATTTTTGAACATTCTTTTTATATTTATCAATCAATGGTCCTATAGAGTTATAAGGAGGGATTATACTCAAAATGTTTAATAAATGGCAGAGTTAGAGACACTGACCAAACAGAACAGAGGTCTTTTAGAAATGGCCAGAGGGCCCAGACTGGACTTCTCTGGCTGAGTATTGACCATGGTTTTAGGTATACTTTCTTTCAAAATGGGAATGTATATTCTTTTATTAGAGTCCCTCAGTAAATATGTTTGTTCCACTTTTTAGTTGACATAACTAATACCTAGTGATATTAAAATGTGTGATATAAAAATATGTTTTGAAATCATGAGAAAATGAGGATTTTACTAGATCTGGAAATACTCTTTCAGTTTCAAAGATCAGATATTTAGTTAATGGCTTGATCACATAGAAAACTTTCAGAATATATTAACGAGAACGCTTAATGCCTAGAACAGATTGTTTTATGGTACATTTACAGAAATATTCTTCAATAGACTAATAATGTAATTGTCTACATTTATGATATTATTTATACACTGTTACATAGAATATAGTGATAATATTTCCACAGTAAAATGGAACTTATTAGTAATTGAAATGTCTTTTTATGTTGACATTTTCGAACATTCTTTTTATACTTATCAGTCAATGGTCCTATAGAGTTATAAGTATCCAGCACAGTGAAAGGATATCTTAGTGTCTCTATAAAGCTAAATAAACTTGGGCAAGGGATGTAGCTCAGTGGCAGAGTACCACCTAGCATATGTGATATCCTAGGGTCAACCTCCAGGACTGGCAGAAATGAAACTTTCTGAACTTTATTTTATTTGCTTATTAGTTAAAGTTGTTTTTTTTTTTTCCAAGATGTGTCATTTGGCTTTCCATTGTAGTAACAAAACGTCTGAAAACAACAATTTAAATGGGGAAAGCTTTGTTAGGGTTTATGGTTTCAGAGGTTTCAGTCAATTATCTGCCAGTTCCATTGCTTCAGGCCTGCGGTGAGGCAGAAACACCATGGTGGATGCGGGAGGTGCTGAAAAGCTGATCACCTTACGGCATCTAGTATAGAGAAAAAGAAGCAAAGAGCCTGGGCTGAAGGAGGGCTTTCTCCTTCTTCTACCTTTATTCTATCCAGGCCCTCAGCCTAAGGCTGGCGTCACCCACATTCATGTCCCACATGGCAGCTGTCTCTGGGCACACTATCACAGATTCTCCCAGAAGTGTACTTTACTAATTTCCCAGGCATTTCTCAGTCCAGTCAAGTTCACAGCCAAGATTAACAATCACATGAGGCAAGTGTTCAACTTCAGTCTCCCAATTTATACAGTGGTTTAAAAGATTTTTTGTTATAGTTACAGGAAAAAAAAACTTGTCAGATAGCTGAAATCTAAAATCCAGCTAGCTCACAGTTCTGGGGAATCGATGCCACAGTTATGTTGGCTTATGTATATCTTAGAATGTTTTGACTGCCTCTAAGCTTGTGTTCAATGCAACACTTCATCAACAACTAGAGGAATCTTATTAATATGCTGGTCATCTAGTCTACAAGATAGGGTTAGGTGAATATACCTAAAGGTATTGAATGGTATGTACATTTAGCACAATTAACATGGAAATGGGAATACCACCAATTTCACACTTCTCCTTTTCAAAGAAAGCAGTTAACGAAGTAAAAACGCATCCTACGGAATGGGCGAAAATAATTGCAAATAACATACCTGATAAGGGATTATTATCTAGAATATATAAGGAACTGCTGTAACTCAAGAATAGTAACAATAACAACAAACATAATAACTCAATTTAAAAATGAGCACAGGATATGAGTAGACATTTCTCCAAAGAATATATACAAGGAGGCAAGAAGTACATAAAAGATGCACTAATGTTGGGAAATGCAAAGGGTAAACATACAAAATACGCATTTTCCAAGGCCCACAGAGTTTTCATCTGGCTCCTTGTAATCTCTTATTGCAAAGCTCTGTTGCAGGAGGTCCTACAGATAGGAAGAGAAACTAGTGTTCAAAATGATTAACTTGCTCTTCTACCATAGAGGTTTGAAGGATGTATTCATAAGGTGACTGTTTCCGGGTTTGCTGTTCCTGATTTACTTATAGCTGTTATTCTGGTGTAATTAAAATGGAACCCCTTTCCTTCTCAACCATGTTCTAGTTTGCATGGCAAATTCTTGGTCACTTTCCCTGCAGATATTACAGAAACTGCCTTGAGCTTGCGTACCCTTCTGTCATGCTTTGTCATGTGACCATCTAAGAGGTGCTGTAAATATCTTGGCTACTCATGCACCTTTGAAAGAAACTTTTCATGTTTTATGCCTTCAAAAGTGATAACCATCCTACACATAAAGGCAAAAGTGATACCTGAACACACAGGCAGAAAATGGGCCTAAAATTTCTCTCACATCTTGAGAAAGACTTTCGCGTTGAAATTGCTGCTCATCTTTATTAAATAATATTAGATCAATAAAACTCTTTCTTTATAATATTATGGTTCTTAAATGACTTTTCATTCCTATTTGTTTTGGCTTATGTCTATAAAACTAGTGACACCCCTTAACATGCAGATCAGAATGTAACTGAACACCACATAGAGGGTTTCTAGAGAAGGAGTGATGGGAAGAACCAGCCAGCCCTCTATAGCTCACCTCTGCCGACATCGCCATGCAGGGTAAGCTGCGAGTCCCTGTTTTCTGAGAGCAACATGTTATGAGGAAGATTCACTGTGCAGTGGTTCCAAAGTGTGTGGCTTTGATGACATAGAATACATCATATGCAGCGAGTTACAAGAGGCAGATATATTGTTTACAGATAGGCAGCAAGGGACCAAAGCAGCCTAGGATCATTTGTGAGCTGATCTGGTCCCCTAGGCTCAAAACAGGTGCCCCAAGGTGGATGGAGACTTCACCACATGGTTGCTGTTAGAACACAGCCTGGGGGGCTGGGGTTTTGGCTCAGAGGTAGAATGCTTACCTGGCAAGCTGGAAGCCCTGGTTTAAGTCCTTGGCACCAAAAACAAAATAAACCTCCCCTAGAACAAAGCCTATAGGATCACCCCAAAAAAACTCTGCGCTCCCCAAGTTATACACTTTAGGGGCTGCAGGACTCATTGGGCTTTGAAGGCCATCCTACTTCCAGGAGAGAGTGAAATAAAGTCTGGCTGTCCTGGGCAGTTTCCCTGACTCAAGAAGGTACATTTCTGGGGGGAGAAGGGCAAGAACAAGGTCCAGGCTACCTCAGGTGACTCCTCACTGTGTTAGCTTTAAGTAGCTTTAATACAACATGTGAGGATAACAGCTTAAAGCATGAAAGGTTTACTTTGGCTCATGATTTTGGGGGTTTCAGTCAGCTGGCTCCACTGCTTTTGAGCCTGCAATGAGACAGGGACATGGTAGAAAGACATGGCAGAGCAAATGCTCCTGTGACCTACTTTCTTCCTCTGGATCTTAAATTTCCATTATCTCTCCAAAGTAGCATCACATTGTGGTGGCATCAATGGCTTAATCCACTGAACAAGATAGAGTCCTCATGATCCAATCACTTTCCAAAAGCCCCACCTTAGAACATATGAAACTTTTGGGGGACCTTGTAGATCTAAACCATAACACTCCCTATGTCAGGACACTGCAGCCTTAGTATATTCTAGTTTTTCTTGAGAACTATAAGCAAGAAATGTGGGAAAACTGAGTTAGTTCTAGGTCACCCTGAGAATAATCCTACATGTGGTTTAGGGTAAACTGGCCATTGTAAAATGTTGCATCCACTCTCCAAAAGTTTAGTGTTTCTTAATCAAATTCAAATGATAGTAATTATAGTTTAAAAGTGGAATTGGCTTGAATGTTCTTCCTGTAATGAAATTAACTTAAGCAATTCAAGCTTGTTCATGAAGATGAATTCAGTGGTTAACTGTTGAAATAAATGTCTATCTCCTATGAAAAGAGATTTATATTTGCTTTTAAATTATAATAAAACAAAGTCTACATCTGCATCTTTCTATTTAGGGTATCTTCCTAGAAGATATTATTACTTATTGTTCTGAGTGAAATTCTAATCTGATTCCTAAAAAATGTTACAGCAATCCAAACCATGGTGCTTTCAGGCAGCAGCAACTATTACCATAAGTGCTGGCTTAGTCACGGGGACCAGCAGGATAGGTGACCTACGTAGCTACAGCATTCTGTGCTACCCCTGGCTTTTTCTAGTTTGGGAATATAACTACCAAATTTTCAGCTTCAAAAATTCTAAGGTTGATAGGAGCACCAAGATGACAGAGAGGTAAACAGAAGAGAAAGCCTCTCCAAGAGTTGCTGTTAAAATGCTGGGATAGGGCCAGCCAAATAGCTCAGCAAATTAAAGCACCTGCAAGCAGGCACAAGGGCCAGGGTTCGATACCCTGGCCTGCCATGCTGGCCCCGCCTAGGGGAGTGCTGGGGGGGGGGGTTGCCGCTGAGACTGCAATTGAGACTGGGCATGGTGGCGCAATCCTGTAATCCCAGCTCTTAGGAGGCTGTAAACAGGAGTATCACTACGAGTCTGATCTAGTAGTGAGACCCCGAACACCCTGTAGACAGAAAAATAAATAAATAAATAAATAAATAAATATAGAAATATAAAGAAGACAAGAAAGAGGGAAGTGGGTCTCCTGGACCCAGGAAGGATCTAAAGTGTGACTAGAAGCCCACAGAAAGAGTGAAAAATGAAACTTCAATAAAGGCAGTGGAGGTAGCTGGCAGTGCCTTTTCCCTGAGATGGGACTCACTTCACAAGAGGAGCAATTCAAACCTGCAGACACACCATGACAGTTGGTGACTCCAGAGACCTCCACAGAGAGACGCAACAGTGAAGGGGAACAGCAGACATGAAGAACTGCACTAGTTTGTGGTGAGTGCTGAGGGCTCAGTCATCCCGAGCTAGAGACAGATTGGCTGGGAGCCATCTTGGAGAGGGGCCAACTGAACTCAGAACTCAGAACGGATGCCAGCTCCATCTAGTGGCTCCCAGTTGGGCTCAGGCCCAGGGAAGGTGTGTGGATGACT